CATGCTTTTTATTCCATTAAGTTGCAACACTTGCCTCTCGCCATGGATCGTCGCAAATTCGGACGAAAATTTTTCAATTTCGCATGCTCTCGTGTTGTCATCCGCCATATTGAAAAAAATTATCTCGCAAAACTGTGATGTATCGATTCTTAAAGAGTAAAGATTCCAAGCTTCAATTTCTTTTGTTTTTTTAGAAACCTTTCTATCATTGTTACTCGCGTAGTTATCGTCATTCAAAATTTGGTGACTTTTTTGACAAATTTCAGGTATACCGCTTTTTTTGGCCTGAGTGTACATATTAAGAATTTGTGTGCGAGATTCTATCGAAGTGTTTCATATCGCGTAGAATAGTTGGCGCGGAAATAAATTGACAACTCTTCCCCCAATTTATTTACCGCGAGACTTATTTTTTCACGTCCGAGTCAATCACAGTTAAAAAATTATTAATTATCCCGTAATTACGGGAACTTAATGCATTTAGACAGGATGTTTTTTAAAGCTCGAAATGCTGCAATGGGGGAAAAATATAAAAATGAAAGACAAGCCCATTACTTTCGGGTCGCTGACACGGACCGCTTATTTATTTTCATCAGCATTATTTTCCCTCGCAAATACCCTTCAGATCTCTCTCTCCCCTGGGGAAAAAATACCCCTACGTTGTACTCTCGCGTATGGGAGCGGAGAAACTCGCGCGACGTATACCGGACGGAACAAAAAAACAGAAAAGAAAATAAAACCCGCGAGCACATACGGGCACGTACGGGAGACGGAGTGGGGGGAAGGGGGGGGCAGGAGAAGGAGTTCGCGACAACGGGCCCCAATTATTATTTGCTAATTTTCACCGGCACGGCGGCGGCGATGGTGTACGTTCGCGCGACCGAATGCTAAATAATATGGAAACTTTCTACAAACGGCCGCGCGCGCGGCTTTCTATCGGCCACGGCCGGAATTGGAAAAATGCCTATGTGGGTCAGCGTCGACGCGGAATAACGTATTTCAGAAATATCGCCGCTTTCGTTTCTCGCTTGCGCGGAAGCGCGGCGAGGGGGGAGCCGACGGGGAGGGGGGGGGGCGCGCGTAAGAAAAGGGATCGTGGGAAAAAAGGACGACGTGCCCCGCGTGACGCAAAGCCCGATCTAAAACCGTTTGCAGATCTCCTCCCCCCTCCTTTTCTCGGAGTCGGGGCCTCAACTGGCGCCGCGCCGTGTTCCGACCGCGCGAGGAGAGCTTAAATCGCCGGAGCCGTTCTCCGGCTCCAATCCGGGATCGGGCCCTGGCGATTTTCACTCGGCGATTTTTCGCGAGCCCGATCGCGGCCCGATCGCGCGACACAAAACGTGCCGGTGAAAGCTCCCGCGACTGCCTCATCACGACTAGAAATCAGGAAGAATTCGTTCTTCGCGGAGGGAGATAGAGGCGCCATTGAAGATTCGCGCCAAGAAATACCGCGGCCGCGCGCGCGCGCGAGGAATTGCCGAGTATCGAAAGCGGTCGGATGCTGAGCAGATGGGAGATTTTGAAAGTTGACGAAGACAGATCTCTGAGAATGTTAAGAGCGCAAATTTTTTATCTTAGCGACACACGACGGCCGGAGCGTTGTGCGAATCGCAGTAGTCGAAGCGCATACTTCGAACTACCGAAGCAAGTAAAGATGTGGGCTGTCGTCAAGTGTAAACGAGGTATTTGAAATTGGGCGGTCACGCTGGAAAAAAAATGTCCACAGCTAATCATGATTTGCTAAAAATAGTTTGCTGCCATAACTGTAAATTTCTGAAGCACGGCAAACGGCTTGCTGTCGCACCTAATACAATAGGCACAGTAGCAAAATACTAAGTATCACAACTAAATATTGGGTGTCCATATTTTACATCTGAAATTCAGTTGCCACACGCAGTTTTTAGCTACGGCATTTTTCCCCGTGCAATTAAAGAAATGTGTTAAGACTTGCAAGAAATTATTCATGAGAAAATAACTCGGATATATCGCGGAGACATGTCTCAAGAGAACCCGGTCGTGATCGGCGTAAAAAAGATTGGGACACTGTCCTTTCGTTTCGATTCCGAGGTTCTCTAATGAATTTTGCCATAACTATCAAGGAAATACCAATTTTCCAGGAAAATTAATGATGTTTTTGTCCTTCGGGAAGTTTTCCTCCTCCAACTCGCGGAAATTTCAATATTGAGAACGTATCAAACCGCGGCCGAGTTATCGCGGTCTGGCGCAAAGCGGACGGGCGAAATATTCGAGATATCACGAACAAAAAAAAATCTCGGGGGAGCATATTTTTCTTAAATGCACGCTGGGCAATCTCGAAAAATTGAAAACATAATAATATCGCAAACAAGATGCCGGAACGGTCTGCTCCGTTCTCATTAATAAAACCAGATGCAAGGAAACAGTGCAATAGTATAAATATAAATGGGCTTTCGAGGATTATCCGTAGCTTTATTATTATATTCTCCAAGCGCAGGCTCTCTTTAATCCACGACAAAAAAGTCTCAAGGATTACGAGAAAACAATTAGCGAAATGTATGATACGAACTGCACGGTTACCGACTCTTGTCATTTTATATAAGCATGTATAAACAACGCCGACGGATAATATATCCACCGCGCTATATTTTAATAACATAACGTTTCGGTAACCAATGATTTTCCTCGGTGAAAGCAACGTTTCTGGCAATTTTTCCACTTTTACCATTAAATATTTCAAAGGTCTCCGAAAAAAGAATTTCCTATTACAATAGAGCCCATTTTAAGTTAATTAAAAATAAAATTTTATATTAAATATCCCGTGCACGAGGTAGGTCTACCTCGAAATTTTCGCGCAGAAAACGAGAACTCGACTTCGAAATCGTCCAAACACCGGACACGACTGCCTATGTTCTTATCGATTTCCTGACCGGGTACTCGCCACGTTCCCTCATTTTTTGTTTTCCGACTAGGAATCCACCCTGACAGATCGATATTCCTGACACATGTTATATACGGCTGTCTTGTCATAACACGCCTCGGCGAGCTCGAACTTACGATTGTCGTCGGCGCGAATGAGAGACGTTAGTTTTTTTTTGCAAGATAATAGGTACCGTAAAGTTCTCTCGTTAACCATGGCTGTCACAGAGCGCGGCGGCTGTTATCTACGCGAAATTGTTGTTATTGGAAAAGTGCTGAGGAAGGCGGGGATTTATTGTCTGAAGAATGGCGGGGTTTTACTGCTTAACTTTATTTCACGGCGATGTAATAAAACGCCCGCCGCAAATAGCAACATTAATGAGCACGAAGTGAAAATATATCTAAGATACGGCTTATTGTTAGAGAGAAAGAGATTATCGTGCTCGACAATATTTAATTCGCGTTTTACATTCCCGTCAGTCTCGATTGTCAATCTTTCTTAGGAAAATAAAGAATCGACGAGGCCAGGCCAATGTGCTAATAAACGCGGAACACAGTGCTTGGTTTAAAATGTGGAAAATATATTCTTTTGTCCAAACGGTTCGACCCATGTTCGGGTCTTCTTTAGTGATCTGATAGAACAACAAAATATTCAACAAAAATTACAATAAATTTGTTAAGAAATTATTTAAAAAGACACTTTCTTAGGAAAAGTTGGAGGCTTCAGCGACTAACAATTCAACCGATGAAAGGAAAGGGCTCACCGAGCCCTTCATCGGCCTCTTAAGGGGTCATTCCACTTTAACGGCCCAAAAACTATGCTCATCTTTAACAATTTTTTGCACAGGAAATACATCATGCAACGAAATAAATATTTTTGGGATTTGTTAGGTCACTCTTAGATAACACAAAAAACTTTGTCATAATTTAAACACTCTTTTAATTAAGCGTTTTCTACACCGTTCGAATGGCGTGTCAAAAAAGATGCAAGGTAAGCCTGAATGATAAAAGTCATCAACGCAGCGGACTTGCATCTTTTTTGACACGCCATTCGAACGATGTAGAAAACGCTTAATTAAAGAATCGTTTAAATCGTGACAAACATTTTTTTGTGTTATTTAAGAGTGCCCTAAATCCCCAAAAGATTAATTTCATTGTATGGTGTATGTACTGTGAAAAAAATGGCTAAAGATAAGCATAGTTTTTGGGCCGTTAAAGTGGAAGGACCCCTTAAGGCCTTTGTCCACGATGCTAGAACTTGGTCCAGGTTCTAGCTATTTCGTAAAAGCTACAACTTGATTGGCTACATATTTCTCGGGACTAGAACCTGGACCAAGTTCCAGCGTCACGGGCCTTTAGGAATCCTGTCGTTATTTGGAGCGTATTCGCGTAATTTGTTTTCGGACACAATTGCTTCGCAAAATTTTCGTATTTCCGTGTCGTCTTTATTGACGACTCAATCAACCTGCAAGATTACCGCGTCATATTCGCCCTCTTTTCAATTTACAATCCAGCTTACGTCTAGATTCGCAACTTAACTGATTTACAACTCCGAATTAATTCAGAACAATCCAACTAAACTTCTCCCCCACACTCTAATCAGACCTCCGTTTCCGCGCTCTTTTCTATTTTCTCTTTCACTCTCTTATATTTTCCCCTCTCTTGCTTCTCTCACTTTTCAGATTTCCATTAATCTGAGAAATGACATCTTCCCACCCAATTTTCTCCCCGGAATAAATTTCCGCAGCGGGTTGCGCTCGCGGAATCGGTAACGGAAAATCAGCCGCGAAGAGAAATCACTCGCGGGAGATGTATTAATACTCACGTGATCAATGTTGATCTCTCCCTTGTACATGAACTCGACCAGCACTTTGATGTCCGAGAATTTGACGTCACGCATGATGACGATGGGGTCCTTCTCCTCGTACTGCGATAGGATCGTGTCGAAATACGTGCTGCACGCCGACAGTACTACCTGCGAACACGCGAGCCGGGCGCGATTGTTAATCATTTATGCGACGATTTTATCTGCGAAGAGCGCGAAGGGAGCCGTGTAAAATAAAGCGCGTAGCGCAGAAGTCGCAACTTAAAATTCTACATGCGCTATGAACAGCCGCACGAGGCGTTACGTGTCGGACATATCGATAACAGGCGGGTGTTAATTGCGACCAAGTTGCCGGGGAAGTCTAAGCCTAAACGAAGATAAGGCTCACGCGGAATCGCCGGCGTGGAAGATGCTGCACTATCGTCACGCCTTTTCTTTTCCCTTTCCCTCGAACGGAATCATCATGCGCATTCGTAATGCCCCGCGCTCGGCGTGCGGTTAATGAAAAATGCATTCGCTTTTCAATTCGCGATATTACGCCATTTATTTAGCGAGGTCAAACCGAGTCCGCGGTAGTTACGTTATTCAAATTTAATCATTAGTAGCCGAGGGTTGATTGTCACGTGGCTCGCGAAACGGCATTGTCGCGCGACTCGGAGTCGCCGCGCGCGCGCGCCGCGTCGAATTTCACCGCGGCGGAAGTAACTTCATTACCACCGGGGCACGCATAAATGTCGCAGTATCGTTTATTAATCAGAAAAGTCGTTGTAAGCGTCAGTTTCAATGTTCCCTGATTAATTTGCATTAATTGACACTGGACGTGACACCGGGAATCGGAATCACGGGCAATTTGTCGAATTTATAATTAGCACGGAGAAACATGTAACACGATCTGTTTTTTTCCTCCTTTTTTTCTGCAGCTCGCGGTAAACGTCACTTTAGCTTCACGTTACGTAACACGATCCAATTTATTCGCTTCGGCAAGTAAGGACGCGCGCGCGCTCGCGTCGATCCGCAGACGGCGGCGTATGGCCGCGACGCGTCGATCATTATTAATTACCGGCGAAATGGAATTGTCCGGGAAGTCGTATTGACGCGCGTAACGAGCGTGCTAACGTAATGTATGGATCGAGCGCGCGTCACCCGATAAAATATGAATTCCTGTCTGCACATTCAGGGGATTTTTGCTAGACCGTCCCTCCCCGCCCCCGGACTCCACCCGACGTAAATATCTGGCATGAAAGTCAATGAGGGCCCCCTCATACTCTACTTGAAGAATTCTTCGTTCGCGGCGTGGCATATCGTTTATAACCCTTCCGCGCGGGCCCCGCCTACGAGATGAAAATTTATACAAAGTGCTGTACGTCTTTGATCGATGGATTTGTAATGTCTCGATTCCGCGGGCAGCCGCCGGTGTCGCGAGGGACGTTAGTCAACTTTCCGAATATCCCTGTAATTTTTCTTAAGTCTCCAAAATGTCGGCCCACTCTGATTACGGGAGTTTGGTCTCCTTATACAGGCCGGTATTCATAGTCAGCTGTTACATTTAAGATCGTCTTGAATTTATCTAAAGATGCTGTATGGAACATTTCATTGGCTACGAAGTATCTAAAGATGATCTTAAGACGGTCTTAATAATAAGGTCTTAATAAGACGGAATATAAAGATCTGACCATGAATACCGGCCACAGACTCCATGGTCGATATTCTCTGGCCAGTATTCATAGTCCGTTCTTATATTTAAGATCATCTTAAGTATACACTTAATGTGTTTTCCACAAATCACAGAACGGTATTAGCGTCTTAAGACAACACTTAGGACGATTTTGAAATAAGAATCGACCATGAATACCGACCTCTATCTCGATCGACGTTTTTGTATCACGGACGCCCGGGGCGATCGTCGGGTCTTCTTCGACCGTGTGTTGTTATCGTCGCCGCCTGCGATTAATTGCACCTCTTTTGTATGCTAATTGGCCGATGTCGCCGCGAGTATTGCCGTTGTAACACACGGAACGGGAATAGATTAATTAGTTGCGAGACCGAATGTCGCGCGCGAACGAACGACGTGGGAATTTCCGGACATTCGTCCGCGAGTTTCTTTCGCGATGTCCCCGGCCAACGGCGCGACATGCGACTCTCGTACAGAACGAACTGGATAAAACAGGCTTTAACCCTAATACACGAGGATGAAGAAGAAGAAGGGTTTTTAAGTCGGGGGGGGGGGGGGCGAAACTCCCAACTTGGAGAACGTAGCGCAGTTTTGGAGAACGCGCGCCCAATCGTTATCACGACCGAGTATTCCCTGCGAATTTCGCTTCGACGAAATCTCTGCCCTCGTCTCCCTTTCAATTTCGCGGCGCTCTTCTCTTCCGGCTCGACAATGATCTCGATACAAGAATAGACGCATTAGAGATTCCATTTGATCTCCTTCTCTCCCCCTCCCCCCCTTCGGACGGCGGTGTCTCTCTATTACGACGTCCTCAACTCGTATTAGCACACGCGCACTTTCCCCCCCCATCTCTCGTTCACGTTTCCTCCCTTTTATTTTCCCCCGCGTATTCGTGCACGTCTCCGTGTACGTCCTCCTCGTTAATCCGTCGAGCCTTAGTTTCCCACTAATTTCTCGTTCGTTTCGTCGCGGGGCGAGGCGCGAGGAGGGGGGGGGGTAGGGTACGGAGGGACCGCGAACGACTAGTGTCTGACTTGGCCCCGCCCAGTCAATAGCCTGAATATTTAATGTTAGAAGTTCGTATTGATTTTCGCGATTTTTACGTCTCCGCAAATAAGGCCGTAAAGACCGTCTCGGGAGGGCGGCAGCGGCGGCGGTGGCGACGGGGGGAGGGAGGGGGGCGAGCGAGCGGGGGCGGCGGTAGAGGGGGCAGGGGGGGAGGGAGACGCATAGACGCGTTACTTTTCAGTGCCAGCTATATAACGCTTTTTATTATGCCGGGGCGCTTTTATGGGGAAATACTGCGATGAAAAAAAAGAGGAAGACGTCGAGACGAGCGGGGGGGCGGGAAGGGGGGTGGAGGGCTGAAGAAGAAAGAAATTGCACTGCCCGGGTTTCATATCGAGTCATTACGATCCTCGGGCACTTTCACCCCCCCTTCCCTCCCGCTTCCCCTCTCCCCGTCACCGGCTTCCTCCCTCCCGTCCGACCCACCCCGTCCGACCCTCCCGCCGTCCGCGACGTCTTCTGACATTAAACTTTTTATCGTGCATAACGGCGCTTCGTCTTTCGTCAAGAGTAAAAAAAAGGAGGAAGAAGAAGAAATATAAATGGAAGAAACCGGCGCGCGGCGGAAAGAACGACCCTGCCTGCACGGAAAAGGGGTGCTTCGTCAAATTTGTCGATCTCCCTCGTCGGTCCCTTTCCCCGGTCGCTCTCTGCCCCCCTGTCCCTCCTGTCGCTTCTTTCTTGTTTTTCTTTTCTTCTTCGTCTTTTTTTTTTAGAGCGAACGCGGAAGCATGACAGGCGCGCGATCGATCCCAAGACGCTTTACGGCGAAACGCGGCAGCGAAACGCGGAATACCGACGGAAATTTACATTCGTAATGGCGCGCAATAAATATTTATTCGACCGGACATTATTCCAGTTATTTATATGAATCGATATAAAAGCGTATCGCGAGAGAGAGAGAGAGAGAGAGAGAGAGAGAGAGAGAGAGAGAGAGAGAGAGAGAGAGAGAGAGAGAGAGAGAGAGAGAGAGAGAGAG